CTGCCTCAGCTTTGGTTTCAGTTATTATTATTATTCTAATTTCGCGTACCTAGAAACCTTGGTCAGGCCGCCGCTTTTGGTGTTGAAAAGTAGCTATGAGCAAAGATATTAACACACACAGCGCCTTGCCCTAGCGCGGGGGGGTTAAAGGCAGGCTGGAGGGGAACACCGCAAGCAGCAGTCTGGGGTGGCCACTGGGCCATCCCATGGGTCCCGGTCCATTTGCCACTGGATAAAACCATGGAAGGGTAAAACCTGCCCACGAGGGATAAAGCTGCGCATATGGCTGTGTGCCGGAGCACCGTCCTGCCCCGTGCAGGGCTGCAGAAGGTGGGCACAGAGCAGCCACGCTCTGCTAGACAGCTCGGAGCAAGGGGGGACTCTCCTCCCCTCTCTCTGCTGCCGCTGGATTAATTATTTCTAGATCCTGAAAAATAATTTCCATCAATTTGCAGAAGCAATTACGTTTAAAATGACTTAGCAGGGCATTTAGTAACTGTGAAGAAAATGGTAGCAGAAAAAAGGAGAGTTTGGGAAAGGCAAACTGATGCTGAGCCCGGTGCCTGTGCCAGGGTGTGAGGCCTGTGCTCGTGCAGTCTCGTTGCAGGGAGACAGCGCACACAGCCACCCAGGGACTGGTTCTCCCACTCTAAACAGCCTATGTGCAGATGTACAAGGTGTGATTAGGCTTCCTAATTGCTTTGTTTTCTGTCTTGTGTCTCTGTAAATTACAGGACTCAGGACATACAATTTTTAGTTAGTCCAACCAATTTCATTAACAAAATTTTCAAACAGTCTTTGCTTGCTAGCTACTGGTTGTAGTAGGAACAAGTAGGAGACTTCTGCTTGGGAGTTCAAAAGCTCAGTTTTGGACATTTCCCCACACATTTTATCAATCCTTCTCCAAAAGAAATCTGCTGTAGGCAAGAAAAACTACTGCAAGGGAGCACAGTTGCAGAAAACCTTCAGGAGGAGAGAAGTAGTTACAAGCAAAGAAATTCAGGTGTGGAAAAGGAAAAGATGGATATAACAAGATGCTTGGGGGATTGCAAGGTGATTGCAGTCTCGTGGCTTTGTGAGGAGGAAAACGTAACAGCTTGAGGAGATGGAACAGGGGAAGCACAGTGAAAGGGTAGTAGTAATGGGAAGAAAAGGAAATGATGACATTTGAGAATCTTATATGAAGTTTCTAAGTAGAAACTGGCTCTACAGGGTGCTACTTCCCTGTCCAGTACCTTGTAGTTTACCACCGTGCCAGTTTAGGTGTGTATCACTGCAGGTCACCCGTAGTTGTTTTGGCTGTGAGCCTGTAGCCAACTACCATGTGCTCTAGTAGATATGAAAAGACGCTGAGTAAAGATGCTGCTTTTTCAAGAGGGCAACAGAGGAGAAAGAGCAAATTTGAAAATTTTGCAAAGGGATGATGGACGTCCGGGGCTGATCAAGAATGATAGCTGAACTCCCCATAACACGGAGTAAGGACAGTCTTCGAGTTCTTTGGAAATGATCAGCTTTGATCTGCTACTGTAGAAAGGAGGACCTGACAGAAGGGAGCTCCACAGGGTGGTATATCAGTGTAATGTGCTGGAAAAATGCTCCTTCTGGTGGACCTTGGCAGGGTGAGACTGCATACGTGGAGGCCAGAGAAAAATGTGTTGCAGTTCTGAACATGGGGCATGGATCAGATTTTTTTTAGCTGTTTTGATAGCTTGTAAAATTTACATGGAGTCATTGAAGCCTGAAGACCCAGATGGAGATCCATGTTGAAGATGATGTGCAGATTATGGGTAAATATTGAAGGGGCAGGTACAAAGTATATGTTTTCCTGGCAGATGCAGCAGCATCCTGGACAGATTTTAGTTCCATTAATTCTTTTTCGGAGTTATATTTGCTGAAAATTACGCCATTTTGCTGTTCTGCAGTTTCGTAGGCGTAATGCTGGGTCTTGCCTATTCTTCAATAGTATTTGTTTCACATGGTAACTCTTAAAAATAAGGTGAAATTGCACAGAGGCTTTATGTGCTAAGGTCAAAGCAAGATAGTACTCTTAAATGTTTTATTTCAGCTAATATGTAAAATGCTATTTTGTACTCTAATTTATGATTTCATCCAACGAGGTCTTTATTATTAAAATAAATGGTGTTAAAGACATCTTTAAAGACATCCTGCTTGTGATAATAGCCGCTTTATGAACGGGGAAAGGAGTAAGTCTTGTTTTCCATGACTTAAGGAGGTGATGCAGTTCTGATGTCTGATTTCTTTGTTAACATGAACCTTTTGAACATAAATATTCTAGGCATGGTAAAGGAGGCAGTAACAAGAAGTTTTGAACAGGTAATTAGAAGAAAGCCTTTTATGTTCTGATCATAACAGGAATCATTTTCTGTTTTATTGTTTACTGTTATTTCACAGTAAAAAAAAAAGGCCAGGCAGATGTTTTATTACTTCTAATTTACAGATTAATTCCTGTGATCAGAATCTGAACCGATGCTGTGAAATAATAGAAATGAACTCTGTGATTCAAGGGCAGCTCTTCACAATCCTCAGTGAAACAGCTCGAGAAGGTAAATCACTGCTTTCTTGTTACTATCACATTTCACACCTGTTTTATTTTTAAACACTGGCTCTTGGTTTAGGTGTTCTCAAAATCCTTAACATATGTGTTTTCTTAGGAGGACATTATGCAGGTGTGGAAACAATAAAATCTCGTCTCCTGCCATGGCTGGGCACTTGTTTTTCCAGTGCAGCTTCAGGAAGATCTTATGAAACTAATCTCTCTCTCACTCAGGTATGCAGGAAGATGTATTTTAAAAGAATAAAATGCTATACATTTATATCTGCAGGAGAGGTTTATCACTTCCTGTTAGTAACTTCCTTTCCTGATTTTGCTTAACGGATTATGTTCCTGGTTGCTCATGGAGACAGCTATGCTATTTCTCCCTTTCAGTGTCCATTCCCATTTAAAGAGAAATAAAAGAGATACTGAAGTTGCATTAGACTTTTGAGTTTCTGCTGTTGTGCAAAACTGAATGACAGTATGGAGAAATTTGCTTTGTAAGAGAAGCTGTGTTCTTGGACAGTGTTCCTTACCTAACTAAAGAATTATACTGCTTACGGTCTTTGGTTGACAAAGATATCATGGAAGTATTGATGTCATACTTCTATTGATAAAAACCCAGCACTGTGTGAAAATACAGGTATAAACTGAAGGTGTATATCTAACCCCAGTCTTTTAAGTATAAGCCTCTTTTTTGAAGAACAATATTTGCTTAGTATCTGAGCTTATGATAATGTCCAGGAGGAAAAAAAAATCTGCTCATGCCAATCATGATACCACCATACTCCTGATGTAAAGTTTGGGGTTAGTATGTTTTATTATTGTTTTCCTCTGTGCTG